TATGTGAATATGCTCCAAGCATTTGATCAGGACAATATGATGGAAGAGATTGATGGAAAAATTGTTCATATGGCAAGAATGTTGAATTTAGAACTTGATAGCACTGATGTGGAATAGCTAGCTCATAGATTACAAAGAAGGGGAATTGACAACCCTTACTGGATTTTGGTGCCCAGCCACCACCACTGACTGCTCTGACCGGGATCACAACAGAGGGTTCTGGACAGAGCTGGAGAAGGATGTAGAACAAAATTCTAACACACAAAAAAAGATCAGATTTACTGGCCTGACAGAGACTGGAGAAACCCCGAGAGTATGGACACCCTTTTAGCTCAGTGGTGAAGTCACTCCCAAGGTTCACCATTCAGCTGGGGATTAGACAGTCCCATAAAACAAAATGGGACTAATGAGGCACAGCAGTCCAGGGAAAAGGACTAGAAGGCAGGAGGGGACAGGAAAGCTGGTGATAGGGAACCCAAGCTTGAGTAAGGACAGTGTTGACATGTCATGGGGTTCTTGACCATTGTCATAGGGCAATATGTGTACTGTTTAATGAGAAACTATTTTGCTCTGTAAACCTTCATCTAAAGTACAACAACAACAAAATTACCTATGTGAGATCAAATTGACAACAGCAACTCAAAAGGTTTGATGGGAAGCCTAGGGGACAGTGAGTTGAAGACAATGGTGATGGAGTAATTTGGAAAAGGATAGTGAGAATAACAGCACAACTGGAAGAACATAATCGATGTCACTGAATCGTACATGTAGTAATTTTTGAAATGGTGTATCTTTGGCTATGTATATTTTCACCAAACGTCCTCCAAGGTCGAGAAGGGAGAGTGTTGACATGTCATGGGGTTGTTAACCAATGTCATCAATGTCATAAAACAATATGTGTACTGACTGTTTAATGAGAAACTATTTGTTCTGTAAACCTTCACCTAAGGTACAATAAAAAAAAATTTAAAAAAGACTTAATGGATTTTAAAAAGGAAAGAAATGCTGAAGAAGAAAGAAATTATGGGGAAGAAGAAGGAGAGAAGTCAAAAAACTTTACAGTGAAAGAATTAACCCATAACCCGTTGTTGTTGAGTTGATTCCAACTCAGAGGCTTCAGTTTCTTGAAAACATGCACCCAAATGCTGATTGCTTTGCTAAAGTCAACAGGCAGATTCAGGAAGCAGTGAGATGTTACTGCAAATTATATGAAGAAAAAAAGAAAAGGGCCATACAGAAAACTCACTAATTTTCTGACTAGAAATGCCATCCACATTCCCAGGGATAATCCAGATGATCCAGAACCTTCCACAAGTGGAGTTATTATCACAACTGACAAAATGCCAACGTTGTCCAACTCTTCTTCATCATCAGAGTAAATTTGTATGATTTGTATATTTTTTATGTATGTATGAAAACATATCTGTAAGTTTATATGTGATGTTTCCAACCTCCAAAGGCAAATAAAGAGCAGATTTATAAAGATACTGTTAATAAAAGGCAATAATAATGAAAACTAAAAAAAAAAAAAAGAGGTATTCAGTTTACGTCAGAACCAATTTATGACAGAGTCACTGGAACGGAATCCCATCATAAGTCGGGGACTACGTGTATTTGCAAATAAGGTCACATTCACAAGTGCTGTGGGTTTGGACTTCGACATATATTGGGGGAGTGGTAGGATACAATACAACCCACAACTACATTCTGATTAACTTCCTTGTATAAATCTTCCATTTTATTAATCTCTCTCAAGTTGTTATCAAATTGGCTGTTAAACACATTAAGTTTTTAAAATCTTATCATATTTTCATTTTTCATAATGCTTAGTATTTCCTTAGTTTCACATTTAATGCACTTATGTTAAAATTTTTATTTATTTTCTTAAATACAGGAAAACATGGCTATTTTATATTTTGTGTTAGGTAACCCCAATATCTGAATATTAATGGGTCTGTTTCTGGTATTTGTTGTTTCTCTTGGTTCTTGATCTTAGTGCCTTCTTTCATCGTGTGTTTAGTGAATTTTGACTGTAAGTATTTCAATTTCATTCTAAATTTGCTTTTGGAAATTTATGGAAACCTGGTATTAATGTGGGTTTCTACAGAAAGTCTGTGTATTTTGAGTCTGCCAGAAACTGGGATAAGTTCCAGTTTGGGACTACCTTAAACTAAACTTTTACTTTGGGAGTTTTGGGATGACTCTGGTGCGCTAAATTTGGGTTTTAAGCCTTTAGATAGTCGTATTATTGATGTAACTTCTCAGAGGTATTGTTCCCCTCTAAGTTGCCAGGTTTCAGACAGTTGCTCATGCAATCCTTGTTGAAAGCGAGTCATATTTCTAGTTCACTCATACATTAAGAGTAGAGCCCTATGGAGTCCCTGACCTAAAAGGGGAAGATCTCTGGTTAGACTCCCCACCTTAGGCAGGCTTTGGACTTTGCCTCCTGTACCCCTTGTCCTACGAGGTCATGAAAATTGAGGTCCAAGTTCACCTGGTTTGCAAATGCCCTTAAACTCCTCTTTCTTCTATGGCTTCCACCATCACTCATTCTCTGGCTTGAGTATTCCTTACTTTCTTTTCAGCTCAAAAGTTGTTTTAAGAAAATGTTCTACAGCTTTTATCCAGCATTTTAGTTGTTCATAGTGGGAGTTTTAGTTTAGTAACATTATTTGCTATATTATCAGAAACAGAAATTCTCTTTTGCTTTGAAGTCAACTTGGATGATATCTATTTTCTATAGCATCTACAATTTTTCAAAATGATTGCCTAGTTTTTTTTTTAAAATCATATTCCCTCATGGACTTTTAAACCTTAACTGTATCTGTGGTTATGCCCCCATTCTTAATTATAATTAATTTGTACATTTTATCTCACTTTTTAACTTGACCAGGTTAATGGTTGATAAAAGACAAAAAATAGGCAATTAAAATAAGTTTAAGTTCTATGACGTTTCTATGAGTGTGTTATGGAAGCACATACAAGGGACATTTTATCAAGATTTAAATGGGAGGATGTATGTAAAGTAATTAGCATGGTGCCTCATACATGGGAAAACCAAAACCAAAGCCATTGCCATCGAGTTGATTCCAACTCATAGCGACCCTATAGGACAGAATAGAACTGCCCCATAGGGTTTCCAAGGAGTGGCTGGTGGATTCAAACTGTCAAACTTCTGGTTAGCAGCCAAGCTCTTAACTGCTGTGCCACTAGAGCTCCTCATAGATGGAAAGACCTCAACAAATATTCAGCTTAGTGAAATTAGAGAAATCTTCCTTAGTGGAAGGAAGGAATAGGAAAATACCTGGACAAAGGGGATCAGTAGCTCAGTGGGAAAAATGAAATATAAGTAAAGCCTAGAGAAACCAAATAAATTTAAATATAGCTAAAGCATAAAATGCAAGGATGAGAGGTGAGGCTGGAGAGCTAAGAGTGGGATATATGATGGAGGGCCTGGTAGGCATGATAAGGAATTTGGACTTTGTCCTAAGAGCAACAGAGGGTCACTGAAGGGTTTCAAGCAGGAAAGTGTTCCGATCATATTTGTTTTAGAAATACTATTCTGGATGTTGCATAGAAAATAGTTTAGATGGGGCCAATGGTGGATCCAGGCCAGATAGTGGGCTGTCGAGGCTATTGAAGGAATACAGGCAAGAAATGAGATGAGAACAATGGATGGATTTGAGATATCTGGTAGTTGAATCCTTAGAACTTCGTGACTGATTGGATGTTGGGAGTGAAAGGCTGGATTTAAGGACAAAGCCCAGGTTTCTGGCTAGGGCAACTAGGTGGGTGGCAGTATCATTTACTGATATAAGGAACAAAGAAAAGCAGGTTTGGAAGATACAATGATAAATTTCATTTGTACACAATGAATTTGAGATACTTTCAACACCTATGATATTCAAAAGAATGTCTCCTCTGGTCCTTTGTTTTCCTCATGAAAGTGCAGAAGATGTAGGTTTCTCTGTAGACTACCACTCAAATGACCCATTTTCCTTAATTGAAGGTGGGAGATCATGCACAAAACTTTGAGAGTATAAACCAATTCTTCTCCTACCCGACTTCTCTACATTTGGATGTTGTTGTTGTTGCTGTGTGCCATCGAGTCAATTCTGACTCATAGCGACCCTATAAGGCAGAGAACTGCCCCCACAGGATCTTTGTAGGAACAGATTGCCACATCTTTCTCCTGCGGAGTGGTTGGTAGGTTCAAACCTCCAACCTTTCAGTTAGCAGCCAAGCACTTTAACCAGCCTCCTTATTTGGATGTTCAGCTCTGTATTAGAAATGTTTTTATTTTTTGCTTCACAAAATACAGTCACCATATCCAGGACTTATAAACAATTCAATTTAGCTGCTTCTCTTTACCCAACAAACATGATGTGGTTGGAAATCTCTAAGATGGCTCCCAAAGATCCCCAATGATATTTACACTCTTGTGTAATCTCCCCTCGAATATGGGCTGAACTAATTGACTCACTTCTAAGGAAAAGAATATGCCAGAAGTGATATGCCAATTCTGAGTTAGATTATAAAAGGACTGTGGCTTCTCCTTTGGGTCCTTTCTCTCATGCCCTCTCTTGGAAGTCTTGCTATAGGGGAAGCCAGCTGCCATTTATAAAGAAGACCTGTGGAAAGGTCCATGTAGCAAAGACTGAGGCCTGCCAACAGCCATGTGAGAGAGTTTGAAAGCAGATCCTCTTCCAATCGAGCCTTGAAATGACTGCAGCCTTGGACTACACCCTGATTACAGCCTTGAGAGGGACTGTGAACCAGAATAACCTAGCTGGGTTGCTCCCAGATTCATGACCCACAAAAACTGTGAGATAATAAATTCCTGTTCTTCTTGGCCACTACGTTTTGGAATAATTTGTTTTGCAGCAATAGATAACTAATACACCTGACTTGCTGGCACTATTTGAGCTTACTTTTAAGGCAGGGATAGCAGGCTGAGTCACGGAAGGTAGGTTTGAGATATAAGAATGAGAATATTGCGGTTGAGATGACATTTTCTTTATTAAAGTGTTAAAATAGTACATTTTACAAAACCTCATCTGATAAAGAAATAACATCAGAATTCTTCTAAATGGGATTATCAGCTAACCTATCAGAGATACAGGTGTTACTGAGTTCCTCCATAACTATGTAAATCAAAAGCTAAGAGACTGGTTGAAGTCACGATATGAATCACTGGATAGCTTCTTCTGGAAAGACTTAGAATAAATTAGCAAGGTCATTTAATAACGAAATTGAAAACAAACCTCACCCTTTGGGGAAAGAGCACTCTGTTATTCTTCTAGTCAAAAGGAAACAGAGGGTTGTGACAATGATCCAGTGAGTCTGGCCCCAGAACTCCCTTTAGCTTTAGCCTGTGTCTTGCTTGACTTTGTAGAGTGGACTGAGCATGATTTAGAGGCTTGAGACTAACAACAGGAAGATATCAGAATTCAAATCCTGGACCTACTCTTTGATGTTGAGCTGCTATTACCACAGGCTATCTGGGCCTCTCATGCCTGAAAAACTCTCTGGTGTTAGGGCCACCACCTTGAGTGGTATGGGGCTGCTGCCACGAGTTGATGATTGGTTTGCTGCCTGAGATGGGAAATTCCTGACCAATACCCTCATATCTGGTTGTATGAGACAGGGACCAAACCAGGGAAGAGAAGGGAGGAGGACAAAAGTGCCAGTCCAGGAGGTAATCATTTAGGGATTCATATTACAAGTGGTTTTGAATTTCCAGAGACAAAACAAGTCTCTCCAATACAGGGTAGTTGCAGGTCACAGCCCCAAGACCCGGCTGGATTTATCAATCTGGCAGTTCAAGGTCAGCGCAAAGGACATCCCCAACACCTGAGAAAAGAGTTGGGAAAATGTGAGGTCTTCATAGGAGGAGCCATCTCTCCCACAACCCCTGGGATTGGCTCCAGGGAAGAAGAAACTATCCTTCCTTCCATTACTTCCAATTCCCTCTCAGAAGTTCTCTCCTTGGGCTTGAGGATGGACTGAGACTAATGATGGCAAGACAGCAGAGTATAAAGCATTGGGATATCTTTTGTTTCCTTAAGTAAGATAAGTCCTGCTGCTGGTATAGTCAAGTTCTGCTTATTGAACACATTGTGAGGTGAGTTATCTCCACCCATCCCCTATGCCTCCTTGGTTTCCAAGCAGAGAAAAATGGTTTCTCTCTGGGCTTACTGATTAAATCGCAGCTAATCTGTGATAGACATGGGTATATATCACATAATGAAAAAGGACCCAAAACTACCCCAAATCGACCCAGACTTGCCAAACTAAGCAGATTGATTATAATTTTCATTATCAACTCCTTCTTAGCATGCAAAGCCACTTTTTTCAAGTGAAATGTTTAATTTATCACAGACTCCTTTCCAGACCAGCTGAGTGAAGAACCAATGTGGGGCTCTGCTTGTGGGCTTTTAGTTAGACTGTGAATCACTCACATATCTGAGGGATATGCTGACCAGATATATTGCCTTGTAACATAGTTTCTGTATGCCATAAATCAAAGTGGTAATAATATCATTTGCTACTTGACTGGGGGAGCTTATAAACTAATAAAAATAGCTAACAATTATTTAGCAAATACTACGTACCTGGTACTGCTCTAAAATCTTACGTGGATTAATTCATTTAATCCTCACAATATTCTTGTGGCTAAGCTCTTACCTGGATCACACATACACAGATAGTGATGATTCCAATATACAGGAAATTGGTGTGAAACCACTCTTGTGCTTTTTTATAGCAACCCTAGAAAAAAATTACAGGTACAAGTGACATTACTGTATTATTCAACCTTATCAGGAGGTTTATTTGGGAAGACACTTTTTTATTTTGCCTTATGTGATACCAAGAAACTTAGGCCAATTATTGTAGCTTTATCTTCTTTCTATGGATAGAGAAACTGAGGCATAACATAGAGAATATTAAACTAGAGGACTTTCTGTTGTTATCATTACAGTGATACAATAATGTAAAAGTCCTAAATTGTTGCCCACTGAGTTAAATTAGCTCCCAAGAAGCATGTCAGCAGCACATGGTCTTTTGTTCTTTGAACACTCACTGCTGATCTGGGGTCAACAAACGGGAATTATGGGCTATGCAGTCCTAGGATTGACTGGCATTTCATCTTCTGCTTCAACAGCCAGTAAGCCCATGATAGTCCTACCAAGCTCTAGGGCTGGTTGGTGGGTGTTCTAGTCTTCCTCTACAGATGTGAAAAATTCTGAAGACTTCCAAACAATCCCAGGAGAGGGTAACATAAGGTGAAGACCTTAGGGACTTGGTCTGGTTGGAAGATAGATAATTTTAGCTTCTCTGAGCCTATTCTGAAGGTACAAATTAAGTGGGTAGGTTTTTTCAGCAATTCTACCATCTCTCTCCCATCTCCTCATTCCTTCACTTTGAAATTATGATAGATTTCACTAAGGGTTTGGATCCTGCCATCTCCAAGGAAGGAGAGCAGAAAAACAGGTAGAGGGAGAAGCTGTTCTACTTCAACCCTACAAATCTCACTTTCAACCATAAGAAGAACCTATCTCCTGCTCAAGAAGTATCTAGACCCTGCTCTGTCACTGTCACACCAAATTTCTCCCTGCAATATAGTATTTCGGTGTAACTAGATTCTTCACAGTGTCTCTAATGTAAATGTGCTTGTTCCTGCTTTTTCCTGATTTGTCTAGCTACCTGGGGTTGTCTCCCTAGTCTTTCTTTTGTTCAAAGTTTTCTGTTTCTGTCTAGGAGGAGTAGGACATGCATGACTGAAGTTTCTAAGGTAATTAAAAGTTTAATCAAAGAGACTAATAACAGGAAAGATGCCAAAAAAAATTACCTCAACTTCTCCTTCTGGGCAAGATTTTGGTGTTATATCTTTCCAGTCACTCTTGTTATGTATACCACAACATTGCAGCTAAAAGCCAAACCGCAAAAACATGATGGTTAGAAAGTTAACAGGAAAACAAACAAACTTAAAAAAAAAAAAACCGTGGGCCTTGGGGGGAAAGATGATCCCTTCAGATCTGACTCTATAACAGAAAATCCAGAATTGCCCTGGCTTCTTAGAACAAAGTGTTTTCACATTCGGTTATACCATTTAATTCACATAAGAACCCTGTGAAGTAGAGAAAGTATGCTTATTCACATTTTACAGATTAGGAAATAGGCACCCAGAGGATTTTATAAGGGAGAGGTCAGGCTGACCATACCTGAACCCAATGATCAATCTTAAGATCACTGAAAGTAAGACAATCAGATGCATTATGTGCCTACTCACAGGATGCAATGGGAAGTACCACCTATGAGGCAGTACAGGCAAAAAACTGAGCCTGCATCAATCCTCTAGATTTACAGGGTTTATGGGAGATAAGCCTCCATGACACCAAAATACCTTGAGAAAGCAACTAGCCAGATCCAGGAAGTGGGAAATTCTGTAGGACAAATAATTTCTTTCCACAAATAAACAGCATGAACAGAGAGGAAAACTATTATAGACTAAAAGAGATTTAAAAGACATATCATCCAAATGTAACATGTGAATTTTGTTTGGCTCTTGATTGGAACAAACCAGTTAAAAATGTATTTGAGAAAATGAGGGAAATTTGATTATAGACTATTTGTCAGTTGATGTTAAGGAATTACTGTAAATTTTTAGGTGTGATAAAGAAATTAACCTGACCAACCAAATCCATCGCTGCTGAGTTGATTCTGACCCATAGTGACCCTATGGGACAGAGTATAATTGCCCCATAGGGTTTCCAAGGAGCAACAGGTGGATTTGAACTGCTGACCTTTTGGTTAGCAGCCGTATCACTTAACCACTGTGCCCCAGGGCGCTCATAAAGAAATTAGATGTGTTAAAAAGAAGGCTAGGATTTGTTTTAAAATATTCCAACAACAACAAAGTTTAGGGGATTAAATGAGGCAACACTGGCAAAATGCTAACTGTTAAACCCATTAGCAGAGTAGAACCCCATAGGGTTTCCAAGGCTGTAATCTTCATGGAAGTAGACTGCCACATCTTTCTCCCACAGAGCAGCTGGTGGGTTCGAACCACTGACCTTTTGGTTAGCAGCCGAGTGCTTAACCACTATGCCACTGTAAATGTTGAAGCTATGTGATATGAGCACGGAGATCCATTCTGCTACTATTCTTTATTTTGTCTATGCCTGAAAATCCTATATAAAAAGTTTCTATACAGAACTGGAAAAAAAAAAAAAAAAGAAGTGGGGATCCAGAGAGATTAAGTGACTTACCCACAGTTACCCAATCCTGGCTTCTGAGCTCTAATTCCTGTGCTATTTATCCTACTCTGCACTAAGCAGGCATGACAGGGGCATGAGTGTGGCTCCATGTGGTCACAGTGGTAGTATTTGAGACACAGACTATGCCAATGCCAGGCTGGCTCCACTGACCTCATCTTTATCCCTCATCACCAATCACCACCAAGGCAGGAATGCCGAGTTCCATATGTATGTTTGTGGGTGGGGAGGGGGCATGAGAAAAGGAATGCAGATACTTGGTTGGGACTACTCAGGAATTCAACAGAGATTTCTTATATGATACAATTCCTGTTTACAGTAAAATTTTGGAAAATACATAAATTAATCCAGTATGACATGTTTAGATCTTCCTTATATACTAACAGGGCTTAAACAATGAGCCTATTTGAGTAAATGAAGGATGAAAGAGAGAATGTGGATGACTTGGTATCAGTCAGATTGAGTCATGTGCTCCCTTGTTTGTGACATCACGGCATTATTCTGGACGTCAGGGCTGTGGACCTTAGGTTCTGAAACTTCCAGGAAAGGAAGAGCTAAGCTCAGGAGGATTCCACCTGTACTCACAAATGACTGGATGGAGTCCCACGCCGCGATGGTGTCATTGTAGTGCTCAATGCTGTGTCTCAGGCCCTCAGCCACATAGTTATCCAGCTAAGCAGGCACATTCCAGCAGTGGAGACATTGTAAAAAGCAGGTGAGCTCAAGGAATAAGTAATTTTTAGGACTCAAAGGTTAAGTTTAGCATATTCTACTATTTCAATTCACTCTTCCTTTCCAAATTGTCTCCTCAGAGCTAAGGAAGTGAGGGAAATGAGTGTGTATATGGGAAGATGAGCTGAGAGTGAGATGGCATTGAAGGATGAAGTACAGAGTGGACTCTTGTCTTTCCAGAACTCTAGTTTACACAGGAGAAAAAGGGGCCATCAAAACCTAGGCTCTCTTTAGGTATCGAGACAGACATTCTCTTGCCAAGCAGACAGAAAACTAAGTAGTTATCGGAAGATAAACTGGTTTTTACTACTCTTCCCATTCATCCTTCAAGGCACCACTCAAATACAATCTCCTCCATGAGTTTTTTCTCTCCCCAATTATAATTAATCTCTTTGCTCTATATTTCCATTTTGCTTCTTCCTCTATTATAGGACATACTGTATGCCTATTTCTTCTCCACCACACACTCTCCACTTTCATCAATAAGACAATGAGTTGTGTTCTTTATAACATACCTTCTGTTCATATACGAAAAGCAGGATGGCTAAGACCACCTCAGAAAGGAGGATAATCAGCAGCAGGATAAAGAACTGTGGCAAAGCAGAGACATGTTCACAGCACAAATTCAGGTTCTCCTCCCACTCCCATTTCACCCTGGAAACAACCAAGCTGGTCCACACATGTGCAGGGGGTTTCTGCTCCTGCCTGCTCAGGCCTTTGTAAGCCTTCTCTTGTTTCATAAGAAATATGTATTCCTTTCCTACAACTAGACTCCAAGCCTCTAGGGGGCAGATCAGCTGTCTTCTAACATTGTTCTTTCCTATCCATTGTGCTATCAGAGCACCATGCACACAATACATATTCAATACCATCTGCTGAATGCAAAAGAATAAATGAAGCAATTTTGGTATAAGCCTATCAAAACAGTTGAGCAAAAGGCCAGAAAATGGAACCAGGTGTCTTTAGAGTTTTGGGCCTGGTCCTTTCTGAGAGATCAGGATTAGCAAGGGTGGGGGCAGGTGCTGGTGGAGGCTGAGATAAGCCTTGTACAGATAGGGGCAGAGGTGCTCTAATCATGGTCCTGACTCATATTTGTTCCCCACTTTAGACACTTCCTCCCTTTATGCTAATCACACACAACAGAAAACACATTTTCACGTATTGCCTTTCCATCACTTTTTTACCCCAAGACTGGTCTGACTGCTTAAAACCTGTTCCCCATGTCTATTATCTGTCACCTTTTGCCATTAGTCTGGGAACTACGTGAAAACAGGGATTTTTTCCTATTCTCTCTCATTTCCAGTTTAACAGTTGAGTCATATGGAAAAGAGGATTAACCAAATGACTTAAGAAAGATCCAAAGTGATTAGGAGCCCACACCTATGGAAAAAGTTGTACTGTTATACCAAACTTTGTGCTGGGCTCAATGGAGAAATGAGGAGATCTTTTTTCACAGAATTTCCAGGAAAAACCTAAGCCTGAAGGTGCTCCTTCAGGACAGTTTGCCGAGAGGGAACAATTGCTGAGAGGATGCTTGAGCATTCTCATGTTAGATTTCAATGGCTACAGCCTAGACTCTCACCCAAGTTGGGTCACTTACACTATGGGGTATCTTGTAAACATATGGGTTAGGGAAGTGTCCTTTGTCATTTTACTGGGGCCAGAGTGCTCAGAAGAGTCTAGAGACTAGATTTTCCATCAGAGTTACTGACCCTGAATCAGCTCCTGAAAAATATATACTAACTGCAAGGAGGGCTTAGGTAGATGGATGACACTTAATCTCAGCCAGATATAGAGAAGAAATAAAATGCCATGAAGAGAAATTATAGTAATGACAATGGTTATCATTTACAGTGTAAGATGGATACCAAAGAGGATAGCAATGCAGTCTCCCATCTATCCCTGTGGCTCTAGTCAGAAATAAAATACTGTTGGCCTGGACAGACTTGGCTGACCTGAGATACGAATCCTATGTTCCTATGATTTCCCTGGGCCTATAGCTGAGCTACCAAGCAACATCATGCCTGGGAATTAAGGCATTACCTCTCTCCACTAAGGGAACCACGTCTGGTAGGGACTCACCGACATAAGCAGGCACTTGTTCTCTTTGATGGAGCCCATGCAGCCCAGGAAGGCAACCACCATGATAATGGATCCCACGATGATGAGCACATTGCCCAGCGTGAGGGAGGGGAGATTATGGAAGAGCACCCCAAAGTTGTTGTACATCAGGAGGTAAACCCCAAATCCCAAAATGCAGCAGCCACAGAACTGAAAGGAAGAATCCCACAACATCTGAGGAAAAATATGGTTCTACTTCTTGAGTATCTCCTCCTATTCTCACTTGCTTTAGAGCAGAATCACCTTTTTCCATTGGCTCTATCAAGACTCTCATGAACAACCTACCTACCCAGCTTCCCCATGCTCCTAAAAGAGAGGCAATCCCCATTTCCTCCTGTGAAGTCCCACTCATACTTCATTCTACTCATTTCCTAATACCAGGGAAAACTCACTGTATAGAGCCACACAGTATCTTAACCATATAGTAGGTCTAACTTAATGCTTCAGGTCCCCTACTCCTTGTTGCCCTCAACTGCTTACATGACCTTCCCTTCGGAAACCATGACCATGTAGAGGGGACACCCTGCTTAAGGAAGCTCATATTTCTAGGCAGTCAGCTAGAGAACACAAACTTTTAAGAATCTTCTCACAGACAAGTAAGTACCAATCCATCCTATGTCTGAAATTCAATTACTGAATCTGACACAGAGAAACCTCCTTGGGAAGAGTGGCTTCCATTTCAGCCATTTTTCCAAGGTGTCCACGGGAAAAAAAAAAAAAGCAGTATCCAGATATACAGAATGTAGAGTCTCAGGTTTCCCACCATAGCAGTGAGCAGTAGTAGCCAAAAGCACCCTTGTTAATAACTACATTGGTATCTTTATATTTTGCAGACTTATACGGTGGCAAGACCGGAAGGGGGAAGAAATTACTACTTCTTTGCTCCTAAGCTGGGTATACTGCACATGACCCAGACATGGGTTACACTGCATATCAGGCTATTCAGTAGAGAGAAGCAGAGCTCAGCTGGGGAATGGTGAGCTCAGCCATGCTCAAAAGAGACACACTTACCCAAAAGAGCAAGTTGAAGAAAAACAGGACATACTTCAGCAATTTCAAGCTACTTATGCCCATGCTGGGATATTCTTACCCTAAAAATTAGAAAGAAGAGAAAAAATAAGTGACCTGATTCTGCAAGGTGACATGGGAGATCAGAGGACATAAACGTTCAAGGTTAAAGGATCTTCAGCATCATCTTGGGTTTGAATTGTGGCTCTGCTCTGGAAAGTTTCCCCAAACTCCATGCTCTCTTAGTCTCCGAGTTATCAATTGGCTCATCCTAGACACTCACTTTTGCAAACCTAAGATGTTTAACATTGAATAAAGCACTGCAGAAGAGAAAAAAGAAGCATCCTTAGATGAGAATAAGTCACAGAGATACACACCAAAGACAGTGCTTTGGGGTCCATGTGCAGCATCAGTGACTAGTGCCTGGGTACACACTTAGAAAGGTAGGCTTCAAGGTCAGAGATGGGCTGGCCAATCAGCTGTGGAGAAAGCCCATGGCCTGATCAAGCTCATGGCCTGAATGCCCATAGCTATGTAAAGCTGGAACATAGCTATGCCTCATTCATTCTTTTACTGCAGAAAACATTCATGGTGTTTTGTGTTCTAGATTCTGTAGTAGCTACAACCATGACTAAGTAATAGCTATCCTCCTGAAGCTGACAATCTCACAGCTGAAATAAAAACAGACCAACAAATATCCAATGGAGATGAAAAAAGAGATAGTCATGAGAGCTTACTTTTTCTTTTTTTAATAGCATATCATTTGTGTGTGTGTGTGTGAGGACATCAATGCCCAGTGACTGATCCTCAATTCTAGAGATCTAGATATACAATTTTCGACTTTCTCTCAGAGGTAATGAGGTTTCATTAAGTGAATAATATTTAAAAACTGCACAATGAGACTGATGTATAAAGCAAATGTCAACTCATTGTTTTTTTTTTCAATTTGAACTATGCCTTTCGCAGTACATTGTACAATCTATAGTACCCTCTCTTTGCAGTGTCAAGGTACCCAGGAATCAGATGATCTCTAGACTCTGGATAAACCTGAGCTACTTGTTTAACAATAGAGTAAATTTCTCTATTAGAAAGACAAAATGTGGGGGCCAAGATGGTGGAGTAGTCAGATGCTTCCTGTGGTCCCTCTTACAACAACGACCTGAAAAAAACAAGTGAATCGATTATATATGACAATCTAGGAGCCCTGAACATCAAAGGCAAAGTTTAGGAATCAGACTGAGCAGCAGGGGGAGGGACAGATGGTTCAGAAGCAGCGAGGAGTTGCCAAACCTGACCCGGTGGGAACCAGCACCTTGCAGGCCAGATCGGCTGCTGCAGGCAATGAGGCAAGCAGTGGCAATCAGGACGTGTTTTTCACATTGAGAGAGACCGAGTGGCACAGAGTCTACTCAAGCCTCCAGAACCAGTGAAAAGCAGCACTCAATAGGCAAAAGATAAGTACATGCATCTAACCTACCGTGCAGATCAAAAAACATACCCTTTTGGAAGAGCCTCTCTCCCACTTATGTGCCTCTCTCTACTCTGCATTGGGTCTTGGGCTGGCTTCAGTGATTCCCGCATCCCCTGGGCTAGAAGTAGGACCCATCACGTGCCCTGAGCCATTCTTCCAGCCTTGGAGAGGGAAAAAATTAACAAACAGGGAAAAATAATCTTCCAGCTCCCCTAAGCTGGGAACTCAGGGCAGGCACAGCTCCTTAGCCTAGGCAGAGGCATAAGGGGTCCACGGATTTTGAATGCCTCTCACCCCTACATAGACCTGTGTGGGCCCATTTTAACAGTGTAGGCCCTCATCAGCACAGTACAACAGGTAGATACCTGAAGCCAGTTAGAGATTACAGCTTCGTGGCCTGAGTGTAACTTCAACTGTATCAGTTCTCTGGTGGAGTGGCAAGTTCATGACATCTAACAGCACTCTGCCCATTAAGCAGGTTCCTCATCTACCCACATCAGGGTCCTGAGGGCAGGTGGCTCCACCCATGCCACCTAGCCACCTGCGACAAGGTCCAAGAATAAGTGGTGCTTCCAAGTCTTTACAGCCAACAGCATTGGGTACCCATAGTCTGGCTGCAAAACCCGCCCACCTACACTCTCTAGGGAACAGGGACATGCTTTCCTCCCAGACACTGGAGCAGCCGTCAGCCCCCTGCCTTGCTCAGGGCATTACTCCCTACTGCAGCCAGATACCTGTGCCTATTCCAATCACCCTTGCCTGTCTAGGACTGTAGATGAGAGCTTGCACCAAACACTTGGTGACCAACTACCTGGACACATAAGCTGAATCCATACAAGAAAAGTAAATGAACTCCTGGGCTCACATACCTAGTAACAGATCTAACCACCTCGTAACAAGATGTTAGTGCTTCAAAGGCACCAATAATCAAACTCTCACATGAGCAGCCTATTTGGGCATAACCAAACAAGAAGCTAGGACACAGTAAGCAAACATAAAATAAATAAATATAATAACTTATTTATGGCTCGGAGACAACAGTCAATATCAAATCACATAAAAAGGTAGACCATGATGGTTTCAGCAAGCTCCCAAAACAAGAATCAAGAAACCTTCAGAGGATGATAACTTCTTGGAATTACCTGAGGTAGAATACAAAAGATTAATATACAGAACTCTTCAAGAGATGAGGAAGGAGATCATGCAAAATGCAGAACAAGTGAAGGAACACACGGACAAAGCAAAAAAGAAACTTAAGAAGATTAGAGAAGAGAATAATGACAAATTTAACAGGCAGCAAGAATCCACAGAGAGACAGCAAACAGAAATCCAGAAGATTAACAATAAAATTTCAGAATTAGACAACTCAATAGAAAGTCATAGGAGCAGAACTGAAGCAATGGAAATCAGAATTAGTGAAATTGAAGATAAAGCACTTGACACCAACTTATTTGAGGAAAAATAAGATAAAAGAATTTTAAAAAAATGAAGAAACCTTAAGAATTATGTGGGATTCTACCAAGAGGAATAACTTACAAGTAACTGGAGTACCAGAATGAAAGGGCGGGGGAAAACAGAAAATACAGAGAGAATTGTTGAAGATTTGTTGGCAGAAAACTTCCCTGATATCATGAAAGATGAGAAGATATCTATCTAAGATGCTCATCGAACCCCACACAAGGTAGACACAAAAAGAAAGTCACCAAGACATATTATAATCAAACTTGCCAAAACCAAAGGTAAAGAGAGAATTTTAAGAGCAGCTAGGGATAAACAAAAAGTCATCTACAAAGGAAAGTCAATAAGACTAAGCTCAGACTACTCAGCAGAAACCATGCAGGTAAGAAGCAATGGAATGACATATATAAAGCCTTGAAGGAAAAAAAATGCCAGCCAAGAATTATATATCCAGCAAAACTGTCTCTCAAATATGATGGTGAAATTAGGGCATCTCTAGATAAACAGAAGTTTAGGGAATTGGCAAAAACCAAACCAAAATGACAAGAAATACTAAACGGAGTCTTCTGGTTAGAAAATCAATAACATCATATAACAACTGAAGACTAGAACGCAGGACAGAGCAACCAGATATCAACCCAAATAGGGAAGTCACAAAAGTAACTCAGAGCTAAAACATTGAAAATAGGGAAACAGGGATGTCAATATGTAAAAGATGACAACATTAAAACAAAATAGAGGAACTAAAAAAGGTAGTCATAGATCTTTCATATGGAGAGGAAGTCAAGGTGATATAAACAAATAAAAGAGTGGTTTAAACTTAGAAAAATAGGGGTAAATATTCAGGTAACCACAAAGGAAACTAACAATCCCACACATCAAAATAAAAAATAAGAAAAACATAAAGACTCAGCAAATACAAAATCAACAACAATGAAAAAGATGAAAAGAAAAATACATAAAGAAAAATGACTCAGCACAGAAAATTAAGTGGAACAAAGAAGCTGTCAACAACACACAAAAAAGACATCAAAATGACAGCATTAAACTCATACCTATCAACAATTATGCCGAAAGCAAATAGACTAAACAGACCGATAAAGAGACAGAGAGTGGCAGAAGGGATAAAAGAAACATGATCTGTCTATATGCTGCCTACAGGAGACACACCTTAGACTTAAAGACAAACAAACTAAAACTCAAAGGATGGAAAAAAATATATCAAGAAAACAACACTCAAAAAAGAGCAAGAGTGGCAATATTAATCTCTGACAAAACAGACTTTAAAGTAAAATCCATGACAAAGGATAAGGAAGGACACTATACAATGATTAAAGGGTCAGTACACCAGGAGGACATAACCATAATAAATATTTACCACCCAACTACGGGGCTCCAAAATACATAAAACAAACTTTAACAGCATTGAAAAGCGAGACAGACAGCTCCACAATAATAGTAGGAGACTTCAACACATCGCTTTCAGTGAAGGACAGAATATCCTGAAAGCAGCTCAGTAAAGACATGGAAGATCTAAATGCCACAATCAACCAACTTGATCTCATAGACATATACAGAACACTCCACCCAACAGCAGCCAAGTATACTTTCTCTTCCAACACACATGGAACATTCTCCAGAATAGACCACGTATTAGGCCAAAAAGAAAGCCTTAACAGAATCCAAAGCATCAAAATATTGCAAAGCACCTTTTCTGACCATAAAGCCATAAAAGTAGAAATCATTAACAGAAAAAGCAAGGAAAAAAATAAAACACATGGAAATTGAACAACACCTTACTTAAAAACTACTGGGTTACAGAAGAAATTAAGGACGAAATAAAGATAATCACGAATCAAATGATGATGAAGACACATCTTACTAGAACCTTTGGACACTGCAAAAACAGGGCTCAGAGGCTAATTTACAGCAATAAATGCACACATCCAAAAAGAAGAAAGAGCCAAAATCAAAACATTAGCTCTACAACTAGAACAAAATCAAAAAGAGCAGCAAAAGAAGCCCTCAGGCACCAGAAGAAAGCAAATAATAAAAATCAAAGCAGAATTAAATGAAACAGAAATAGAAAAACAATTCAAAGAGTTAACAAGACCAAAAACTGGTTCTTCTAAACGATCAACAAAACTGAAAAAC